GCTTTGGGGGCGGCGGGGGGTAGGGAGGGATGCCTAAGTGCAGATCCACTTCATCAGGTGTCCCAGGTCCCTGCCTCAGTTTCCCCCGTCAATAGCTCAGGTTAATTGACAGGGAAACAAGAATCACTGCAGAGAGCCGCGCTGGGGCTGGTGTTTCTATTCCTGACTGTGAAAAAATAGAACCAAGGCCAAACTGGGCTGTTCCCTTTCCCGTAGGACCCCCTTCCCATCCCACCTGTAATTCCCCTTGACAGATCGCCAAAGCCAGGGTGTGAAAGGGGGGGAGGGAAGGGGCTTGCTCTATGAAAACGGTCAAAGGGAACCCCAGAGTGAGTGGTCTCCAGAGAAGAACCTGGCAGTGACTTATGCCACAAAGGTCAAAGAGAGTCCACATCCCCCTTTACCCGTGTGAACATGATGCTCGGCAAAGAGCAAGGGGATTGGCCGACGCCCCTGCTTCTTCCCATTTCCCTGTCGCCTCAGAAAAATCAGTGTCGCTACCAGCCCCTCTCCGCCCTCTACAGACCTCCTGCCTGCGGCTTCAGACCTCCCTAACCCTTGCCCTGTCCGCTCCTTTCAACTGAATTCACTCGGACGCCTGGCTCCCTACACCCCATTCCAGGCTTTCCTGAACGCCGCGCCTGGCTCTCCGCTCAGCTTCTGCCAGCCGCGGGCCCCCTCCTCCTGCCCGCCGCGGGCCCCCTCCGCAGCCTCCCTTCTCCCCCTTCTCTCGGCCCCCCTCCCGCTCTCGTTCTACGTCATGGGATGACGTTGGAAGCCAGAGAGGGAGGAGGAGCGCCCCCCCTCCCCAGCCAGCAGCTCCCGCTGCAGCTTGCTTAGCCCAGCCTCCCGCTCTCCCGCCCCCCCCGTCTCTAAAACGAGCCCCCCACGCCTGGCAGGAGCTATATAAGGCGGAACGAAACAGGCGAGGGGGGCAGCGCAGCCGAGCGGAGCCCAGGAGAGGAGAGAGAGAGAGAGCCTGAGCGAGAGACGGGGAAGCAAGAAGGAAGAAGCCACCGGCGCGTCCGGACAAGAACGCAGGTGTTCCGAGCACCCGAGCTGGAGCTCCGCAGCCGCCAGACATGTACCGCTCCACCAAGGGCGCCTCCAAGGCGCGCCGCGACCAGATCAACGCCGAGATCCGGAACCTCAAGGAGCTGCTGCCACTGGCCAAAGCGGACAAGGTCCGGCTGTCCTACCTGCACATTATGAGCCTTGCCTGCATTTACACTCGAAAAGGAGTCTTCTTCGCTGGAGGTAAGAAAGCTGGGGCTATCGGAGATCCAAGCGGTTGGGCACCAGGGACAGCGGAGCTAAGGGAACCCGCTGAGACTGCTGCATGTCTAGGGCAGTGACGGAGAGTTGGGGGAGAGAAGGGACTAGGGGACTCAGGACTTCCAACTTTCCCTCCTGATCTCCATCCGAACCTCACCTTAGTTCTAGATGAGGGTGAGATGGTGTCCTAGCGCCAGGCTTAAGGAAAAATAGCCCGGCAAGAATGGTCCCCACTAGCGCAGAGACGCTCCGGGAACCCGGGGAGGGAAGGAAGCCGGGGAAGTTGTAGGATGCAGCCGCCAAAGCCTAGGGAAGGGCAGACGCTGTTCGGGGTGCTGAAAAGGCTTTTCTACCGCCTTTGGAGCGCTGTCCGCGGTACCAACAACAGCGTGTGTGGTGCAAGACTCTATCCGTGGTGCTGAACACACTCCGATTTGGAGCGCTGTCCGCGGTTCTGAAATCCAAAGCGGCTGAGCCTCCGGCCGGGCTTAGAAGCCGAAGAGCTTGCTGCTGGGGGAAATCCAGCAACAGGTTCCCCGGCCAAGTGCTGAGGGCAGCAGGTCAACAGGTGTTTGGAGAGGCAAATTCATGGCAAATTCCTCTGGATTCTCTGAAACTCAGACCCTTCTGCTTTGCCTCTCAGTCTTTCTCCAGACTCACCGCGGGTTCTCATCCTACAGGCACTCCTCTGGCGGGCCCCACGGGGCTTCTCTCAGCTCAGGAGCTTGAAGATATCGTGGCTGCACTCCCCGGCTTCCTGCTTGTGTTCACAGCTGAAGGGAAGTTGCTATACCTGTCTGAGAGTGTGAGCGAGCATCTGGGCCACTCCATGGTGAGTGCTGAGCATTCAGGCCAGGGAATGGACGGGACACAATAAGCATTCCACTCCCGAGAAGCTAAGAATTACTGGGGAGGGAGGGGTTATACTCTGCAGGATCCTGTGGGCCAAAGATCACCTCGTATTAATGGTCATCTCTTCTTTTCTTCCCTCCAGGTGGACTTGGTTGCCCAGGGTGACAGCATCTACGACATCATTGACCCAGCTGACCACCTCACTGTGCGCCAGCAACTCACCCTGCCCTCTGCTCTAGACACTGGTAAGAGCCCCTTCATCCTTTCTCAGTCCTTTCCCTCCTGCTGCCCTGATCTTCCACCATCTCTCTCAGCCACCCACCCTCTAATCAGCTTTTCTCTTCACCCACCTAGATCGCCTCTTCCGCTGTCGCTTCAACACCTCCAAGTCCCTCAGGCGCCAGAGTGCAGGCAACAAACTGGTGCTTATCCGAGGCCGATTCCACGCTCACCCACCAGGAGCCTACTGGGCAGGAAATCCTGTGTTCACAGCTTTTTGTGCCCCACTGGAGCCAAGACCCCGTCCTGGCCCTGGCCCTGGCCCTGGCCCTGGCCCTGCCTCACTCTTCCTGGCTATGTTCCAGAGTCGTCATGCTAAGGACCTGGCCCTACTGGACATCTCTGAGAGGTGAGCCTACTGTGCTCAGACCCCAGGAGGAATGCAAGCCAGAGATGAGGGGACCCTAGATTCTGGAGTCAGGAGCAGGGATGATGGGGTTAGGGGAGGCAGAGGACCTGGGAGGGAGTGAGAAGCATGGGTATCAAGCAAGGAAAACAGAAAGCTGATCTCACCCTTTCCACCTTCCCAGTGTCCTAATCTACCTGGGCTTTGAGCGCAGTGAACTGCTTTGTAAATCATGGTATGGACTGCTGCACCCTGAGGACCTGGCCCACGCTTCTGCTCAACACTACCGCCTGTGTGAGTGTCCAGAGAGGCTGGGGACAAGACAGGGATCTGGGAAAGGGGATGGGAGACCAGACCAAGAATTGGGCTATCAAGACTGATGCTAGGAAGATACCAGAAGCTAACAGTTTTGGATGCTATAGGGTGAACCTATGTGATGAGGAGTCAAGGCAAGAATAGAATAAAAACTGGGGGACTCTGAGTGGTGAGGTCAAAGTAGGTAGATGAGTGGTACAGTTCAGGGTAGTCAGAAGAGATGGTGTCATGGCTAACTCAATTCAGTGCAGAAGTGAGCAGTGGGGGAGTTTAGGTGGTGTTGCCTAATGGCCATCCTAACACTGCATTTCTTCTTCTCCCCAGTGGCTGAAAGTGGAGATATTCAGGCAGAGATGGTGGTGAGACTGCAAGCCAAGCCTGGAGGCTGGACATGGATTTACTGCCTCTTATACTCAGAAGGTCCAGAGGGCCCCATTACTGCCAATAACTACCCAATCAGGTGAGCAGCAAGATAGGGACCTGGGGGGCAGTTGAAGTCAGCGTGGAGGAGATACAAACCGGGGAACTGCTCTGGGAATGGACACCAAACCCTTACTGGCTGCCTCTTCTCTCCAGTGAGAAGGAAGCCTGGAGCCTCCGCCAGCAGCTGAACTCTGAAGACACCCAGGCAGCTTATGTCCTGGGCACCCCAACCTTGCTGCCCTCATTTGCTGAGCAGGAACAGTGCTCCAGCTCTAACCCACTCTTCACCCCAGCCATGGGGGCTCCAAGAAGCACCAATTTCCCCAGTGCTCCTGAACTGAGTGTTGTCTCAGCACCTGAAGATCTTCCCCGACCCCCTAAAGAACTGGACTTCAGTTACCTGACATTCCCTTCTGGGCCTGAGCCTTCTCTCCAAGCAGACCTGAGCAAGGACCTTGTGTGCACCCCTCCCTACACACCCCACCAGCCAGGAGGCTGTGCCTTCCTTTTCAGCCTCCATGAGCCCTTCCAGACCCACTTGCCTGCCCCATCCAGTTCTCTCCAAGAACAGCTGACTCCGAGCACCGCGACCTTCTCTGACCAGTTGACACCCAGCAGTGCAACCTTCCCAGATCCACTAATCAGCCCTCTACAAGGCCAGCTGACTGAAACTTCAGCCAGAAGCTATGAAGAACAGTTGACTCCTTGTACTTCCACCTTTCCAGACCAGCTGCTTCCCAGCACTGCCACCTTCGCAGAGCCTCTGGGCAGCCCTGCCCATGAGCAGCTGACTCCTCCCAGCACAGCATTCCAAGCACACCTCAATAGCCCCAGCCAAACTTTCCCAGAGCAGCTGAGCCCCAATCCCACCAAGACTTACTTTGCTCAGGAGGGATGCAGTTTTCTCTATGAGAAGTTGCCCCCAAGTCCTAGCAGCCCTGGTAATGGGGACTGCACACTCCTGGCCCTAGCCCAACTCCGGGGGCCCCTCTCTGTGGACGTCCCCCTGGTGCCCGAAGGCCTGCTCACACCTGAGGCCTCTCCAGTCAAGCAGAGTTTCTTCCACTACTCTGAGAAGGAGCAGAATGAGATAGATCGTCTTATTCAGCAGATTAGCCAATTGGCTCAGGGTATGGACAGGCCCTTCTCAGCTGAGGCTGGCACTGGTGGGCTGGAACCACTTGGAGGGCTGGAACCCCTGGACTCCAACCTGTCCCTGTCAGGGGCTGGTCCTCCTGTGCTCAGCCTGGAACTGAAACCCTGGAAATGCCAGGAGCTGGACTTCCTGGCTGACCCTGATAACATATTCCTGGAAGAGACGCCCGTGGAAGACATCTTCATGGATCTCTCTACCCCAGACCCCAATGGGGAATGGGGCTCAGGGGATCCTGAGACAGAGGGCCCAGGAGGGGCCCCATCGCCTTGCAACAACCTGTCCCCAGAAGACCATAGCTTCCTGGAGGACCTGGCCACATACGAAACCGCCTTTGAGACAGGTGTCTCAACATTCCCCTACGATGGGTTTACTGATGAGTTGCATCAACTCCAGAGCCAAGTTCAAGACAGCTTCCATGAAGGTGAGTCCCATCAAAATGTCCCAGAACTCAAGTCCCTGTCTTGCCAATGAGATACTGAACAGGGGTGGGAGGATTAGGTGAATCAATTCCCCTTTCTGTTTTTCAACTCTATTCTATTAAGGGGATAATATCACTTGTTGGCAAAAGTGGCAAGGAGGATTTTTTTTTTAATGAAAAACTTAATATGAAAGTTTTAGATAAATAGGGATGACAAGTAGAGATTGGGCTTATGGGAAAGAATGTGAGAGAATCCTTCGGTAGAGTTCTGTGGCTTCTTAACTGTATGAGAGCAGACATCACCACCCCATTTTACAGATGGAGATGATCAAGGTCCCAGAATTAAAGAAACTTTCTTTAGGTCATACAATAAATTGATGGAAAAGGGATTAGACCTCTATCCCAGGATTCTTGCCTCCAAAAGAGGATACAGAGCAAGAGTTGACAGAGGCTGGTGAATGAGAGCGCCTAGGGCCCAGCCTATGGCTCCATTAGGGTAGCTCCCTGGTGAAGGCGCCATCCTTGCCAAAACTACAGCCACGGTTTCACTCCCCCATCCAAATTTCCCTCTTATCTGCTGAGCCTTGGGGAACGGTCAGTTACTGGATCAGCATATCAGGAGCCCTACTGTGTGCCAGCACTGGATTGTCTTTCCTAGTAGGCCTGATGATTGTCCTGTCTCTATTTCTCTGCAGATGGAAGTGGAGGGGAACCAGCGTTTTGAATAAGTCTGTGACTTAACGTCGTCAAGTATGGCATATTGTCATCAAGACGTGGAGCCGCTCTCCACCCCCCCGGGACTGTTGGGGGGATTCTGAGGGCTAGAGGGGGATAGATCTGATTCCCCAGGCCCTGCAGGAATTTTTTTTGGGGGGGAGGGAGGTGGGAGGGAGAGGGAGGGGAGCTTCTTTTTAAAATCAAGAGACTTCAAGTGATCCCAGTTTCCATTGCAATCTGTATTCACTCGTAGTGAGTTTCCTTGAATGGGATTTCAAGCGGAGAATGGGGGAGTCTCACTTCCCTGCCACCGCTGCCCCATGGGCCTGGGCCAGTTCTCCACTCCTAGGGGCCAAACCACCCCCTGGGCCTTGGTGGGGGAAAGGCAGGGCCCACCCAGGCCAGCCTGTGCCCCGAGGGGCTCTTGACACCCACGTAGAATTCTCTACACACCAGTAACGGGATTTCAATTCCGATGGACTCTGCCGCCCTAGCGGCCCTTCCTGTGACTTTTGCGCCCCGCGCCTGGGGTGGGGGGTGCGAAGAGACGCTACGTTCCTTTCCGATGGAGGAAGGCAGCCCTGCCGTCACACGTGTGCTTGCACGAGTGCGCGTACCTGGTGCGGGAATCACCCGGCCGCCAGACCGCCTGGGCCCGCTCAGACGGCCACCTCGTGGTGCTGCGGTGACTTTGTAGCCAACTTTATAATAAAGTCCAGTTTGCCTTTTTGGTACCTCTGGTGTCATGCGCTGCTATGGAAAGGGAAGGGTGGGAGACTGAAATGGTTGGGAGGCCCAGATGGGAGCCTGGGGGTCATGAGGTAAAGATGGCCCGGCTGACAGCACCAGGATTTTTTTCACTCACTCATGCATGTACACTCATTCATTCACTCACTCGGCATCTGCGTGTGCAGCGTGACCCGTGCTGTGCGGGAAGCTGGAGAGTTTGGAGCTGAAACTTGCTACATCTTGCCTTTGAGGCACGTGGCATCCAATGCTAGAGGATAGAGGAGTCTGCTGTCTGCTGTCTGCTCCAGGCTTACAACACTCACCGCGTGGGAGGGAGCAGAGGCCCTGGGGACGGACCAGAGCATTCAGCTTGGCATTGGTCCTAGACATGGGGTTGACATGAGCTCTTGCCCTGCTCCTGCAGGGCAGCAAATTCCTTGATGGGCCCTGGATTTCCAACTTCCTCATTAAAAATTACAACCGCCTCTATTATCCTTGCACCAGCGCTTGTGACTGACATGTGCTTTTACACCCCTTACTCATTGCAATAAAGCCTCTGAGAAGGCATATTAGCCCCATTTCACTGATGAAGAAACTGAGAATCACAGATAAAAAGTGATTTTCCCTCACACTTGGCGAGAGGTACAAGTGAGTAATATACCCACATCATCTGTGACCCCGCCCTGGGCTGTCTTCTCATTCCCAGTGCCAGTGAACCACCGCTTTCGATCAGCCCACCCCAGGTTGTCCAAAGATGGCAGGCTTAGGCTGGAGCAGGGACCTCTTCCCCAGTGCAGGGGGAGGAGCACCCTCCTTTTGGTTTCTCCAGATTTTTGAGGTAGAGCTGAGCAGAAGATATCTCAGTGGATGAGGAAAAAAGAAGTTTCTAAAAATGTCATTTTCCTACAAGCTTGGGGACCCAACAGCTGCAAGGCATCCTAGAGGCAAATGAAAATTAGGAAACAAACACCTGGATTCAAATCTCACCTACACGTGAGCCTCAGAACCCCAGCCTCAGTCTCTTTACAGGTGAAGTGAGGCTGACAAAAAAAAGCACTTAACTCCCAAAGATGCTGCTAGGACTTGATGGAGTACCTTTGTAAGCGGACCAGCACAGAATGGGCTTGAACAATGAAACTGAATTATAAGGCAGTGGTGCTCTCAAAGGCTTTCCTAAAGACGGGAAAGAAACCCCAGGCCCCAGTCTTTCCCAGAGATATAGGGGCTGGATTCCAGGAGCTGAGAGCACGATGCTGATCAAGCCCCTCAAACTGTTTTCATACCAAGTTCTCCAGCTCCATGTCCTTCAGAGGACCTCACAGGAAGGCAGACACTCCCAGGGACCTATGACCCGTTTTCCACCTGGAAGATGTCCTTGGGTGGAGCAGGAGGGTAGAGTCTTGCCCTCGGCCTTCCTTGTGCATATGTTCTCCAACTTGGACAAAATAACTGCCCTCCAGAGGACCCCGTTTTGGCTCTGATCCATCCCTACCACCAAGCACAGGGCTGGCACATTTCAGGCACTAAAAATATTCTATTGAGACTCATTTCTGAATATCAGTCCATGCATTTGTGAACAAAGTCACCAATTTGTTCCAAAATTCCCCAGAGGGTAAAACAGTGTAATTTTTAGTTTTGAATCTCAAATGACCATGAGCTCAAGACACACATTGTAGTATCATCTGAAAACCTACCTAGTGGTCCTAAAAAGAAGGAAGTCTAAAAAACTATCACAGCTCAGAGGGGCCTAAGGAAATTTAACGACAAAATATAATGTGGCATTTTGGAGTAGAAAAGAGACTTAAGGTAATAAAGAAATCTGAGTAAAGTATGAGCTTTAGTTACCATACCACTATTGGCTCGTTAATGGCAATAAGTGTTCTATTTAAGAGTAAGGTGTTAATAACAGGAGAAGCAATGTGAACGCTGTACTATCTTCGCAACTTCTCTGGAAGTCTAAATCTATTCTAAAACAAGATGTTTCTTTAAAAAGTAAAAACAAGGGGCCAGCAGTTGGCCTGTATGGTTCAAGTCCCAAGCCTGGTGGCTTGAAAAACATGCTCGTGTGGTGGTTAAGGCGTGGGACACTCCCACATGGCCGACCATGGTTTGAGTCCCGGACCTGGTGTCTTGCTTTCTCACTTTCCCTTTCTTTCTCTGTGTTTATGTGTCTCTTTCTGGTCAAATTAAAATAAATGAATGAATGAATAAAGTTAAATAAAAAATAATTCTTTAAAAAAAAACCTTAAAAAGAAAAACATACTGGCAGTGTGTGTGCATGCCCAAAATCCTGAGTAAAATGGAGGAGAAGGGGTTGTGGTGTGGCCATCCACCCTGGCAGGTGCTTTCTCATTTTCCCTCTCTCTCTCTGTCTCTGTCTCTCTCAAGCAAGCACATGTGCCCTAAAGTGCAAAAACAACAGTAAAAACAAACAAAAAAAATTTTTAAGTAAAAAAATGGTCCCAGTCTCGATATTGTGTGTTACTAAGATGCTGTGCTTTACATGCTGGGACAGCCTGGGAGACCCAGATTGAGTCCCTAAAGTTGGGGTGTGGTGGTATGCACATGTAGTCTCAGCAACTTGGGGAGGCTGAGGTAGGGCAGAATGCAAGCTCAGGGCTGACCTGGGCCACATAGGGAGACTGTCTAAAGAAGAGCAGGTGCACACCTGTAGTCTGAGCTGGTAGGCTGAGACAGAAGGATCACAACATTGCGACTTTATCTTTCTTAAACATTTTAAATAAAAATTATGTGAGACAAAGTAACATCTCTCTGGTATTTGGTGGTAGTGGTGAGTGAGGTCAGTTTTTGCGTCCTGAAGAGAAGGGCCCTGACTTTCTGAACCAGAGATCTCGGCAGCCCAGCCTAGTGCGGAGAAAAAAATTGGAAGAGTCAATGGCGCCACCTGCTGGACAAGAAGTCTCTGCTTAATGTATTAGGGTTCAGATCAGTATCTTAGAACAGATGGTCAACTTAGGCCCAGGAAGAGGAAAGGACTTGCCCAAAGGGACTCTCAGATTGGCTGTAAAAGCCATATGTGACTCTCACTGCTCTTGCCACCAACCCCAGACTGATGCTCTGGGAAAAGAATGTATGAAAAAAGGCTCAGATTTGGGCTCATAGAAAGTTCCAGAAGTGACTCTGCCACATTATTTTGCATGTAATAAACATATATTTTTTATTTTATTATTATTATTTTGGAGAGTTTTTCACTATAGGGTGCGTGCGCTTGCCAGAAAGACAGAGAGACAGAAAGCAAGAAATCACCCCCCCAGAGGGGATGCCCACTCTGCAATCCCTTCTCCTCCATTCTCCTCTCAGGATCTTGGGCATGCACTCACATGTACCTGGCATGAGTTTAAGCCACCGGGTTCGGGACTCAAACCGCAGTCGACTACATGGGAGTCCAACGACATAGCCATTACACCAACTGGTGGTCTCAACATATATTTTTTAGAGACTTTTGCTGTAGGGTGCATGTGCTTAATGAGAGACAGAGATAGAAAGCAAGAAATCCACCCCTCAGTGGGGGTGGCCACGCTGTAATCCATTCTCTTCCACTCTCTTCTCAGGATTTTGGGCACACATGCACACGCACCTAGTGTTTCAAGCCTTTGGGTTTGTGATTTGAATTGTGGTCCACCACGTGGGAATCCAGTGCCTTAACCATTATGCCATCTGCAGCTCCCCCATGTGATAAATATTTATGATGGCCACCTGTGCCAGGGGCTGTTCTGAGTGCTGGGGAAACTAAACAAGACAAACAAGGTCCCTGGGTTCACAGAGATTACACCCTAGTTGTGGGGAGACTTAACAAAAAATAAAATAAATAGGGAACCAGCATTTAGCGTAACGGCTTTGTCGCTGGACTCCCACGTAGTTGACTGCGGTTCGTGTCCTGGACCCGGTGGCTTAAGACTCACACCGGGCGCGTGTGCGTGCATGCCCAAGATCCTGAGAAGAGAATGGAGAAGGGATTGCGGCATGACCATCCCCTCTGGGAGGGTTGGTCACTTTCTGTCTCTAATGTCTCTCTCTGACTGTCTGGCGAGCGCACGCGCCCTACAGTGAAAATCTCTCCAAAAAAAAAAAAAAAAGGTAAAATATAAATAGTCTTAAAAAAAAGCATACATAGGGCTAGCAGATTGTGCCATGATTAAGGCACTGGACTCCTACATGGCCAATCGTGATCTGAGTCCTGGACTTTGTGGCTTACTTTCTCACTTTCTGTCTCTCTTTGTATCTCTCTGGTCAAATTAAAAAAATAATAACAAAAAATGGAATTAAATAAGTAATTATTTTTTTTAGAAAAAGCATGAGCAAGAAAGGAGGAAAACAATATGCTGTGGCAGAGAGAGCAGGGGAAAGGGCTTCTAATTCCGAGTGAAGCGTCAGAAAGCCTTATTAAGGAGGCGACTGAGCTTAGGCCTAAAAGACTAACATAAGAAAGAGAACAGGGGGCCAGCAGGTGGCATGATGGTTAAGGCGCTGGACACTCCCACATGGCCGACCATGTTCATATCCTGGACCTGGTGGCTTGTTTTCTCACCTTCCCGCTCTCTCTCTCTCTTTGTGTCACTCTCTGGACAAATTAAAATAAATGAATGAATAAATAAAATAAATAGTTCTCTAAATAAAAAAAGAAAAAGAAAGAGAATGAACATCCTAGGTCAAAGGAAGCAAAGGTAAAGATACGAGGAGTCGAGAAAGTTAACAGAAAATACACATTATGGAAAAACTATGCACAGATTTCAATTTTTTTTGCACCAAAATAAACTTATACTTTATTTCCACTTTCTACAAACTTTTTAAAAGTCCCTTCATATTAAAATTGGAAAATATTTGGCCTTCTTAAGGAATAGAAAGTCAACCAATGACAATTGATCAAGGCAAGGAAGAGGAAGAGCATTTGGAGAGAAAGAAAATTACTCAGGGCCTTAGGACCATGATAAGAAACTTAAATTCCTATGCAACCCATTGAGAAGATTTAAGAAGACAAATGAATATGATTCACACTTTGAAGTCAACCCACTGACAGTCGTGTGGAGAACGGACTGCACAAGGCAGGAGTAGAAGCAGAGACCAGCCATGCTCCTGCAGCCACCTAGGCAAAAGGGAAGAACTTTCACACAGTGCTTTGACAGGCACAGATGAAGGTAAACTACTGGACTTAGCATACTTTAGAGAGAACTGACAGGATTTGCTAGTGGATTTTTAAAAATTATTTTATTTTATTCATCATTATCATTATAATTATTTTTAAATTTGACCAGAGTGACAGAGAGGGAAAGTGGGAAAGCAAGCCACCAGGTCTGGGCCTCGAGTCGTTGGCCATGTGGGAGCCCAGCACCTTAACTGCCACACCACCTGCCAGCCCCAGCTAATGGATTTTAAGTGGGAATGGGAGCCGGCCCATGGTGTGATTAATGTGGCTGGATCCCACATAGCTGACTGTGCAGTTTGAGCCCTGGACTCAGCAGCCAGAAAAACACACCTGCACGAGTGCATGCTGAAACTCCCATGAGGAGAATGGATTGCAGCCTAGCAATCTCCCCTGGAAAGTGGTTTCTCATTTTCTCTCTCTCTGTCTCTCTCTGGTAAGTGTGTGCACCCTATAGCAAAACTAAAAAAAAAAAAAAGAAAGAAAGAAAGAAAGAGAAGAAAGAAAAGCTCAAAGTGAGGGGAAAAGAGCAGGGATACTGAACGTCACTGCATTTCACAGCTCCATTGCACACAAGCTCTTGTGGTGGGTAGACCCTAAAGTTGCCCCATGATCTCTGTCTCCTTTGTAGAATTCTTTATCCTTGAGTGTCGGTGGAATGACTCCCTTCAAATCAATAGAATGTAGCCCAGGTGATGGGCTGGACATGATTATGTGACGTGACTGCACCACCTACTGTCACACTCACTTTGTCAGATGTTCTTCCTCACTGGCTTTGAAGGAGCAAGTAGCCATGTTGGGAAGGCCACATGGCATGGATCTGAAGGTGGCCTCTAGCCAATAGCCACTAAAAATCTGAGGCCTAGGGACCAGCAGATGGTGTGGTTGTTAGACTCCCACATGTCTGGTTTGAGTCCCAGATGTGGAGGCTTGTTTTCTCTCTCTTTGACTCTCTCTGGTGAATGCCTGTATCAAATTAAAAAATAATGATAAAATTAAGTAAATAATTAAAAAAAAAAAAAAAACTGAGGCCCTTTGGGTCCGCAGGTGCCATAGTGGTTAAGGTGCTAAACTCTCACATGGCCGACTGTGGTTTGAGTCTCTGACTTAGCAGCTTTAAGAACCATGCCTGGGAGTCTGCACGGCACAGCTAGAGGTCACCATGAAGTTCAACCCCTTTGTGACCTCGGACCACAGCAAAAACCGCAAACGCCACCTCAATGCCCCCACATGCGAGGGGGGCAAATAAAATTAAATAATTGTATTTATTATTATTATTATTATGCTTCTTAAATTTGACCAGAGAGAGACACAGAGAAAATGGGAAAGTGAGAAAGCAAGTCACCAGGCCCAGGACTCAAACTATGGTTTGCCATGTGGGAGTCCAGCACCCTAACCATCATGCCACCTGCCAGCTCCCCAATTTGTTTTTTATAAAGCATCATGTAGGAACCAGCAGGTGGTGTGCTGGTTAAGAGTGCTGGACTCCCATATGGCCAACTGCAGTTCAAGTCCCAGACCTGGTGGCTTGCTTTCTCACTTTCTGTCTCTCACTCTCTCTCTGGTCAAATTAAAATTAATGAATGAATAAATAGTTAAATAAAATAATTATTTAAATGGTTACATTGTTGGACTCCCACGTAGTCTGCTGCAATTGAGTACCAGACCTAGCAGCTTAAAACTGCTAGGGACATGTGTGTGCATGCCCAAGATCCCAAGAGGAGAATGGAGGAGAGGGGATTACAGTGTGGCCAACCCCCCTGGAGGATGATTTCTTACTTTCTGTCTCTCTGTCTCTGTCTCTCTGGTGAGCACATGTACCCTATAGCAAAAACCTATTTAAAAAAAATATAAAGATATACAATATTGGCAGGAGTCTCTCCTAGGTGGGAAGAATTATGAGGATTTAATTCTCTTATAGGTGTTTTCCTATGCTTTTCAAATGTTCCATGCAAAATAAATATCTAACACATGACAGATGTTCAGTAAATATGAATCTCTCTTCTCTGAGAGGACAAGAATCCTTGGTGTTTGAGTAATGAGGAAAACAAGAGGCCAAATCTTTCCAAAGACTTCTCCTGCCTTGGGCAGGTGCCTACTGAAGCTTTGCTTTTGCAGGTTGGTAGCCATAAACTTCACCATACTTCATGGTCAGCTAACATTGACTCCATGTCAGGGTCAGGAGCTTAGCAGAGGGTCCTGAAGTAGCCCCTGGGGTCTGGAGCACTCTATGTAGTAACTCTGGTTATGATCTGAAATCCCCACAGGGATATTTAAAGGAACAAGTCTCCAAGAAGAGGAGCTAGGACTGATGGAGGAAACAAACAATATATCCAGCCCAGACATTTACAGTCCCCACCCACCCTGCCTGTGGGAGAGGAAGAACACAGGATTTGAAATCAGAAGGCCTGGGATCTACTCCTACCTCTGGCACCAATTCAGAATTTGGGCAAATGACTCTGTTTAGCTGGCCTCAGTTTACACATCTAAGCAGCAGTATAAAGATCCCTACTTCCGGGGCTGGCAGGTGGCGTGGTGGTTAAAGTGCTAGGCTCCCACATTGTCAACCATCATTCGAGTCCTGGACCTGGTGACTTGCTTTCTCACTTTCCCTTTCTCTCTCTCTGGTCAAATTTTAAAAAAAAAAAAAAGAAAAGAAAGAAAGAAAGAAAGAAAGAAAGAAAGAAAGAAAAAGATCCCTACTTCCTAGCATAGCTAATATCTGTCCATGTTGACTACCATCCATACTGGGCTCCTGGCATGGGGTTCCAAGACAGAAGCGGAGAGTAGATGAAACAGGATGTTTATTCAGCCTTGATCCCTTGATACAGCTGTATGTGCAAAAATATAATTTAAAGTCAGAAAAATAATAATTGGGATAGTGTGACCTTCCTTCTTTTCCTTTGGCACGGTCTTCCCAACTAGCCCCCTTCCCAACTGCTTCCTTGGAAATCTTGGAGTATGGGGGGAAGGGGTCACTTCTTGGCAGCTTCTGCCTGGGCTGCCAAATCTGCCTCCTTCTGAGCAGCCAGGAATGCTGCTCGCTCCTTCTGGAAAGCTGCCAGCTCTTCTGAACTGAGGCTGCAGGTGAAAACAGACAGATGGTTGCTAAGTGGTTAGTCATTGGTAGGAGCTCAAAAGAGCCCATCCCTATCTCAGAACTCAACTTACTTCACCCTTTCTCCCTTCCTGGAGTTCTCAGTCTCATACCTTTGCTTATCTGTTTCTTCTGCCAAGAATGCCACCCACAATTCCTAGTACCTTATGTCTTTTATTCCCTTACTAAAGCCCTCAGCTATATCCAAGTCCAGATTAACTGGCCATCCCTATGTGTCCCCAAATACTTTGTACAATGAAGTCACAGGGACATGCATCCGTGCCTCCTCCAGAGCAGGAATCAAATTTACTCATCTCTGTGCTCCCAGAGAAGAGTAAAGATTTGAGAACAGTCAAGTCCATCTCTGTTCCATGCTTAACCCTACAACTCTTGGGAAATGTCTGTCAGCCTTGGCATGCAGTATAACAAAGCAGCAAAAATCCAGCAGAGAATTAAGTACTATCCCCACACTTGCTGTAGTTTGGGCCAGATACCTTCAACATCTTTATTCAAGGAAACAATTCCTGAGTTCTTTCAAAGCCCCTGACTGGGGACCCTTGTCGGCCTCGGGATTAAGTCTGACCTTGAAATACCTCAACTGATCCCTCCCTCTTACCATTTCCTATTCTGCTTCTAGGACTATACACCGAGATCACACTAAATTTCTTTGTTTCACTCACACCTTCCAGGCTTCACAGGGATCTTTCTGTTTCTTGGACTGTTTGCCCCCTATACTTGACCTCCTCTTCCAGGTTTCTGTTTAAATGTCACCTCTGCCATAAGGCCCTCATTGACACTCCAGGCAAAATGGAGTCCTCTTCCTCTCTGCTCTCAAGACAGTCACAATTCTCTTATGAACAATGACCATCCACAGCCCAATACTCCATCTCTATCTCTGGACTGTGAGCCCCCTCAGAGTAGGGCCAAGCATGTTGGCCTTATTATCTAATACTCAATAGGTGGTTAATAAGTGTACCCAAAATAAATGCTATCCCCCACTCCCAATCTATCCCCAAGAATCTAAGGTACTTTAACTTAAAAGCTGACTCTCCATTTGAATAGGTCCTTTCCACTTTGCTACAGAGTTAAGAGATTTCTGGGCTGTTGCCTCACACTGCACCTCCCAGAACACTTACTCCTTCACCACGCGAATGCCCAGGGAACGGGCAGAACCAATGATGGAACGAACAACAGAGGACAGGGGTACATCTTGCAGGGCAAAGGCATCATCCTGAGCTTTGATGCGGGCGATCTCATACACATGCTTCAAGGTCACCAGGCCTGCCACTTCCTTTCCTAGGAGGAAGGAATACGTAGTCCTTTAAGTGTTACTGCTTCCTTCCAGCACCCCCAGAATCTCAGATGCTCACACTGACCCTCACCTGTCTGCCGAGCACCCTTCTCAATCCCAGCAGCTGCCTTCAGGAAGTAGGAAACAGTGGGTTGTCCAATCTTGATTTCAAATGTCCTGTCAGGCTTAACAGAAAAAAGAACTATGAGAATATCTTTCCCTGCTGCCCTAACCCAGGGAACTTCTAACATCTAGTCCCCTCTTCCCTTGACTCACCTTCCTATGATGTCCCTCTAACAGACCACAAAACCACAGGGGAAAGTAAATCTGCAGCAGATATCTCTGTCACCTCTATTCCAGGCCCAACTCTGCTCTAGAAGCCCAATGAAATAGAGGGGCAAAGAGAAAAACTGTAATATAGTAGGACATGGCGGGCTCAGAAAAATATGTTCCAGTCATTACTGTGTAAATGTGGAAAGTGGGACCTAGTAACAGAAGACACTTGTGCCAAGTCAGGAGCAACCCCAGGTGACCAGCTCTCTTGGCGCCAAGGCATGAAAGAGTTTAACAAGGAAGTGAGGGGGACCAGCAATTGGCATAATGGCTATGTTGCTGGACTCCCATGTAGTTTACTGCAGTTTGAGTCCCGGACCCTGTGGCTTAAACTCATGCCAGGTGTGTGTGCATGCGTGACCAAGATCCCAAAAGGAGAATAAAGAAGGGATTTTGCATGTGCGTCTATGCCCAAGATCCCAAGAGAATGGAGAAGAGATTGTGGCGTGGCCATCCCCACCTGGGGGGTGATTTCTCACTTTCTGCCTCCTTCTGTTTGTGGGTGGAGCGCCCCTAAAAAAAAAAAAAAAAAAAAAAAGGAAGGGGGGGTGTTGCTGACAGGTAGCATAGTGAATGAGGTGCTGGATTCCCACATGGCTGACCATGGTTCAAATGCCAGACCTAGCAGCTGGCTTCATTTTTCCTCTCTATCTGTTCAAATTTAAATAAATAAATAAATAAATCATTTAAAATTATTTATTTTATTTATTCATTCATTTACTGATTTTAATTTGACCAGAGAAAGACAGACACACAGAGAGAAAGAAAGTGAAAAGCAAGCCACCAGGCCCAAGACTAGAACCGTGGTTCGCCATGTGGGAATGTCCAGTGCCATAATCACCACGACACCTGCTGGGCCAATAAATCATTCTAAAAACAAAAATGAAAGAAGAAGGAAAAGAAAACCAGGGATCAGAGGCCAGACTGCACCTTCACAAAAATCTTAGTAGGCAGAGGAATGCCCTCTTTGATGTCCTTCGTCTTCTCATTGAACTCCTTGCAGAACTGGTTGATGGAAACGCCTCGCTGTGAGAGAAGCAGAGCGGGTTGGTGTCAGCAGGTGTCGACCGTTCCCTCCTTGGTCTTTTCTTTGTTCCCATTCCCTTACCTCTACCCAGATTCAAGCACCACTTTACTGGCAAGATGAATTCGTATGCGTCAGCCCACTTCTCCGTCACAACACCCAGAAGAAGAGTTGAGGAAACTGAGGCATAAGGAGGCTACATGACTAACGCGCGGACACAAAGCAGGGCCGAGCTTCGGCCCGAGGCTTCACTGGCTCCAGAACCCGCAGCCTCCACTCGCGTACTACAACTCCCACCCTATGGCGCCTTCATGCCGATTCCAGCTACGGCCGCACCTGACCCAGGATGGGGCCCAGTGGAGGCCCGGGCATGGCCTGGCCCGCCCGTACGATGGCCCGGATCACGCCGCCGACCTCCGGCTTCTTGAGGGCCCGAGTGGCCCGGTTTAGCTTCGACATGACCTGGGGCTCCCAGCCTTATTTCACTTCAAGCAAGCAGCAAAAGCACCGCTTTGGGGGCTGCCATCTTGGGTCAAAGGTCAAGGGTCCTCATGTTAGGTTAGGACAGATAAGGCCAACAAATACCAGCCTTGTTTCAGTCCTACCGCTCGCCACCTATGCAGTAAGACAAGGAATATAAGAGAAGATAAACTTTCAATTTATTTTCTGCAGATAGAAGAACCCATATAGCCCCAACGCCTAGACTCCTCCAGAAATTCCGCACAGGCATTACTTTGGACAGCTAACCAGAAAAGCGTGGGACCTTGATGCCTGCACAGCATTGTGGGTAAGGTAGTTTTGAGCCCTTGTACGAGTCCGGCAAATTGTCATCGCCACGCGATGGGGCGCCATCTGCTGAACATGGTGATAATTTTAGGGTTTTAAATAAAACTGGAGCCCGTTATTGGTCTCTGTTTCATCATCTGTTGCTATAAGGACCACGAGGCTTGAAAATCACGTTGGGTCTGTGCCTGAGTGTCCTAAATCCCGAGAGGAGGATGGAGGAGAAGATGCGGTGGGGTCATACCCTCCCGGGGATGATTTCTCACTTTCCCTCCTTGTCTCTGCCTCTTTGAGGTGAGCACACCAACCTGATGGCAAAAAGTCTGAAGAGAAGAGGAGAGGGGAGGGGAGGGGAGGGAAAGAAAAGGAAGGGGAGGGAAGGAGGGGAGTATGATTAAGAGTGTAGATCCTAGAAGGGAACTGCTAGATTATTCCTCTTGCTGACTGTGAACTCCATCAAGTTACTTAAATTATTGTTTCCTTCCCTTATTATAATAAGTAGCACCTATGTCTGGCACTTTGATTTACTTCCTATAAAACCTTGGGCACGATCATTAATCTTGTGCTTCGTTTCTGTGCTAGTAAAATGGAGCTAGTGATAGTACCTACATCATAGGAAATTAGTTATTTTCAGTAAAGCACTTACAAGAAGGCTTGACCAAGGACAAGCCAGACTACTCTGTACGCCCCAAAGTATCAAGTATTTATTTACAATTTTCTTTGCAAATAAAGACATAAATCCATAAAACCACCTGCTGGCATGGTGGTTAAGGCACTGGACTCCCATTTGGCCGACCATGGCTTGAGTCCAGACCTGGCAGCTTTCCTTTGCTTTCTCATTTTCTCTCTCTGTGTGTACATGCTCATGTGTGTGCCTGTATGTCTCTGGTGAGCACATGTGCCCTATAGCAAATTGGAAAAATAATGATAAATAAAATCAAATACAAATAATTCTCTTTTTTGGAGAGGTTTTTGTTATAGGGTGCGTGCACTCGCCAGAAAGACAGAGAGAGACAGAGAGACAGAAAGTGAGAAATCACCCCACAGGGGGGACGGACACGCCGCAGTCCCTTCTCCTTCATTCTCCTCTTGGGATCTTGGGCATGCACGCACACACGCCCGGCGTGAGTTTATGCTGCTGGGTCCAGGACTCGAACCATGGTCTACTACATGGGAGTCCAGCAACATAGCCATTATGCCAACTGCTGGTCCCAATAAAAATAATTTTTTTAAAAAAGAAAGAAATCTTTCCTGAATAAACCAATCAGGAAGTTTACTGGCATGGCAGTGATCAAGGAACCAAGTAAGCAGCCTGGGTGTAATTTTTACTTCTTGCCCATCAAAACACAGTTTTGATTTTTCCACTTTATACAGATTAAGAGAAAGCAACTCCCCAGGGTCCTAAAGAAATGTGTGACATCATGTGGGGTCATGTGGGAGGGACAGTGGCAGTGGCAAAGATGAAGCTGGACAGGTAGATGGGGCCCGATCAGGCAGGCCCTCAGCCCTGATAAGGAGTCCTGGCTATACAATGGGAAGCCACTGAAGGATGTTAATTATTTGCATCATATTTACATTTTGAAAAGGTCACCCCAGCTTGCTATGTAGGAGGGTTTGGAGGAGGGCAAGGTGGATGCATGCAGAGAGGCCCATTAGTCCAGGGTGAAAAGAGGGGAGAGAAATGATGGTAGCTTGGACAGGGAACAAGAGGGGACCAATTTTTTTTTTTTTGAGAGGTTTTTCCGCTATAGGGCGTGTGCACTCGCCAGACAGACAGAGAGACAGAGAGACAGAAGGCGAGAAATCACCCCCCAGGGGGATGGTCATGTCACGCCGCAATCCCTTCTCCTCCATTCTCTTGGGATCTTGGGCATGCACGCACACGCGCCCGGCGTGAGTTTTAAGCCACCGGGTTCGGGATGCAACCCGCGGTCCACTACGTGGGAGTCCAGCGACATAGGCCAACTGCTGGTTCCCAAGAGGGGACCAATTAAAGAGATATTTAAAAGAAAGATTTTACTTTCTTATGCAGCAATAACTTGTATTTAATTTTTTTTTAATTGCCAGGGGGCATGTGTGCTTGTGAGAAAGGGGGTGGGGAGTGAACAAGCAACTGAAAGAAAGAAACAAGCACCTCTCAATGGGCTGTGGTCACCCCATAATCCCCTTTCTTTCATTCCTCCTTCCCCCAGTATTCTGGGCACTCATACATGTGTCCAGCATGTTTTTGTTTGTTTTTTTTTTTGGAGAGGTTTTTGCTATAGGTTGCGTGCACTCATCAGAAAGATAGAGAGATAGAGAGACAGAAAGTGAGAAATCACCCGCCGGGGGGGATGGCCACACCACAATCCCTTCTCCTCCCGGGATTTTTTTTTTTTTTTTGAGAGGTTTTTGCTATAGGGCACGTGCACTCACCAGACAAACAGAGAGAGACAGAAAGCAAGAAATCACCCCCCAGGGGGGATGGCCATGCCGCAATCCCTTCTCCTCCATTCTCCTCTCAGGATCTTGGGCACGCACACACACGCGCCAGGTGTGAGTTTTAAGCCACTGGGTCCGGGACTCAAACCGCAGTTGACTACGTGGGAGTCCAGCGATATAGCCATTACGCTAACTGCTGGTCCCTTCCTCTCGGGATCTTGGGCAAGCACGCACACATGCCTGGCATGAGTTTAAGCCACCGGGTCCGGGACTTGAATCACAGTTTACTACGTGGGAGTCCAGTGACAGCCATTACGCTAACTGTTGGTCCCCGGAATATTATATATTCAATCCATCAGTCCTGTCATTATAAATGAGGGCACCAATTATAACTTTAAAAAAGGATTATTTTTATTTAATTTTATTGATTTTTTTTTTTTTTTGGAGAGGTTTTTGCTATAGGACGTAGTTACTCAGCAGAGACAGAGACAGACAGAACGCGAGAAATCACCCCCCAGGGGGGATGGCCACACCGCAATCCCTTCTCCTCTATTCTCCTGAGGATCTTGGACATGCATGCACATGCGTCTGGCGTGAGTTTAAGCCACTAGGTCCGGGACTCAAACTGCGGTCGACTACATAGGAGTCCAGCAACATAGTCATTATGCCAACTGCTGGTCCCGATTTATTGATTTATTTTAACTTGACCAGAGAGGGACAGAGAGAGACACTGAGAGAGAGAAAGAAAGCAAGAAAGCAAGACACAGGTCTAGAACTCAAACTGCAGTCGGCCACGTGGGAGTCCAGTGCCCTCAACCACCACACCACCTGCCAGCCCCCAAATTATAACTTTTATCACATTCTGAACGGAAGACAAAACTTTTCTTGTAAGGGGCAGACAATAAATATCTTAGACTTTGAGAACCACACAGTCTCTCACACTGCTCAGCTCTGCTGCTGTAGCATGAAGGCAGCCATAGACAGTATGTAACAAAATCAGGCAGCAGGTCGGATGCAACCCTTGGCTATAGCTCACCTCTGCTCTGGAACTAAACATCATCTTTCCTTCCAGTTCCATTGCCCATTGTTGCGATATCGTGCAATTTATTAAGTTTCAGCTTTTCTTAGTCATTTTGGATTTTCTTAAATCTTATTTATGTATTTCTTCCATTAGCATGAGTGAAAGATAGACAGAAAAACAGAGAGACAGCACCCCCAATAGGATGTTGACACCACAATCCATTCTCAGCCTCAGCCAGCCCTGAATCATGGGCAGGCATGCCTGCTGTACTCGGAGAGGTTTCAGACACGAACCTGAAGTCTTCCCATGTGGGTCAGCCTTTCAGAGGGTCTTTTTTTTTGGAGAGGTTTTTGCTATAGGGCGCATGCGCTCGCCCGAAAGACAGAGAGAGACAGAGAGATAGAAAGTGAGAAATCATCCCCCCCTCCACACTGCAATCACTTCTCCTCCATTCTCCTCTTGGGATCTTGGGCATGCATGCACACGCGCCAGGAGTGAGTTTAAGCCACTGGGTCTGGGACTCGAACCGCAGTTGGCTACATGGGAGTCCAGCGACATAGCCATTATGCTAACTGCTGGTCCCCAGAGTGTCTTATTTACCACTGCACCATTGTCCAGCCTCCGTCTCAGATTAAAGCTCAATGTTTTGTTTTGTTTTGTTTGCTATATAGTATGTGTGTACTTGCTGGACAGAAGGAGAGAGAGAGAGCATTCACCCCCTGACCCACAAGAGAGATGGCCATACTGCAGTACATTCCCCTCCATTCTCCTTTTAAGATTTTGGGCATGCGTGCACATGTACACAGCATGCATTTCAAGATCCCGTGTCCAAGACTTGAACCATGTAGTCACTATGTAGGATCCAGCAGCTTTAACCTCCAGGCCACCGGCTGGCCCCTAAACTCATTTTTTAATCTTCCATCCTCCTCCCTTCTCTTCTACCTGGACTAGCTTTTCTGACCTGAAGAGTCACTCCTAATGTCATGGTACTGGAAGGAGCCAGAGGCCCATGGGCTAGTGTACCTAACCTGGCTGTCTTCCTTGCTAGCTTCTGAGATACTTGAATCCTTCTGTTTTCTTTTCTTTTCTTTTCTTTTTTTTTTTTTAAGAGGTTTTTGCTATAGGGCGCATGCGCTAGGCAGCGAGATAAAAAGCGAGAAATCACCCCCCAGGGGGGATGGCCACGCCGCAATCTCTTCTCCTCCATTCTCCTCTCGGGATCTTGGGCGCACACACACACGCCCGGCGTGAGTTTAAGCCATTGTGTCCGGGACTCGAACCGCGGTCGACTGCGTGGGAGTCCAGTGACATAGCCATTACGCTGACTACTGGTCCCATCGTTCTGTTTTCTGATTGTCGGTCCAGGTACCTGAGGTATCCTCCTATCAGCTGTGAAACCCCTTAGGACACTCCAGCTTTGGGCACAGAATTTTGAAGCTTTCCTGTGCCACTCTCATATCTAGCACTCCATGGACTGGCTCTCACGGACATAGCACAAAACTCACACTGCTATTATTACCCTCCTCCAGGACTTCCAAAGCTATAGCCTGAGAATTGAGTCCCAGGTCTCCTTTGCTCTGGATCTCAAAGCTATTTGGGATTCTATCTTTTCTCAGGCCCCACCCTCTCACTTTCAGTAAGGCCTCGAGGGCAGAGCCCACTGTCTTAGCTCTCCCTTTTCTCCTCCAAACCTCCTAGCCCAGGAAGAGTTCGCTGCTGTTGCTTTCAGTTTGTTTTCTTTTCTTTCTTTTTCTTTTTTTAGCATCCTTTCTAAATGAAACACAAATACTCTTCCAAACTAATTATGCCTGCCTCCTGTCTTTAGGCACTTGAACCCAAGACTGAAGAAATAAAGTTGATATCATTATTTGTCTCTTTGTTCATTTTTTCTTTGTCCTCTCCTTTTTTTAATTTTATTTTTATAATTTCCAGAGGATGCATGTGCTCACTGGAGAGAGACAGAGAAAGAGAGAGGGAGAGAGAGAGAAAGTATCCCCCATGGGGCACAATCATGGCACAATTCCTTCTCCTCTACTTCTCTGTCCTGTTGGGATTTGGGGTACCCATGCACACATGCCTAGGGTATTTTTCAAGTTGCTGGGTCCATTATGTGAACTGCATGGTAGGCCATGTGGGATCCAGCTGCCTTAATCACTAGGCCATAGGCTGGCACTGTCCCTTAAAAAAAAAAGTTTCTTTATTCCATGAATGAGGGAGACAGAGACATCACCCCCAACAGCCTTGATGCTGTGACCCCTGTAACCCACCCCAGCTGTGCTGTATCATGGGTGTACACACTCAGTGTGCTCAGGGAGGTCTCCAAAACATTTCTACATGGGTCAGCCTCATAGAATGCTTGCACATCACCTAGCCCCATTGTCCATTCTTTGAAGCAACCAGGAGAAGATCTAGATTGGAGAGAGAGGAGGTAGGAGGTGAACTAAAGGGTTTCTGAACAATACTGCAAAACCTTATCCCATCCCACCATTATTGTTCCCATTTTACGAATGGAGATAGTGAAGCCTAGAGAAATGCCTAGGAAGTTCTTGGAGAACCAGAGTCCTTGGGACAGAGCATTAGATGTAGACGGAAAGCCAAGGCAGCTAGAACGTGGTGGTGTCCCAGTTCTTCCCTCCCTGGACAATGCTGAGATCAGCAGCCTGCCTCTCCGCCACCCGCCACAGGCTCCCAGAGGCCCCTTATGGCCTGGCTGTGCCTACTATGTGGCTACAGTCCCAGTGCTCTACCCTAGGAGAAATCACTGCCTTCTCCTGTGAGCCCTCACATTGTCTCTCAGCCCTTCCTTGCTAGAGTCTGGTGTCAGGTGGTGACACTAGGGTTCTGGTCAATCATCACCTTCTGACTATGTGACCTGAGGCACATTTCCCCCCATCCCTGACCCTCAATTTCCTCACCTGTTAACCGGGGATTATAATAATGATTTAGTATATATTGACTGAAGGCCTGCTCTGGCAGGCAATGTGCTGGAAGCTGGGAGAAAGATGGTAATGAGGCTGTTCCATGTCTCCATATCCTATGGTGCTTGTGTTATTCAGCATGGAGGTTGACATACTGCAGGCTGCTGGACATGCTGGAAACTTCTGGGGGTTTTTTATTTTTTATTTATTTTTGATTTTTTTGTTATGAGGTTTTTGCTATAGGGCACATGTGCTTGCCAGACAGACAGAGAGAAACAGACAGAAAGTGAGAAATCACCCCCCAGGGGGATGGCCACGCCGCAATCCCTTCTCCTCCATTCTCCTCTTGGGATCTTGGGCACGCACACACACGCGCCCAGCGTGAGTTTTAAGCCACTGGGTCTGGGACGCGAACCGCGGTCGACTACGTGGGAGTCCAGTGACATAGCCATTACACTAACTGTTGGTCCCCTGGAAACTATTCTGTGATGCAGGACTTGTATGACCTGCTGCCAACAACCCAGCAGTTGGTCTGCTAGGTGGTGGCCTCTTAGGGAGTTTCTCTTGGACTGATGAGTACCTTTGTCCCTAAAGGATGTGCTGTCAGCCACTTTGTTTCATCTTGCTGGGGCCCCAGAACAGCTGGCAACACAGTTGGTATCTTCAACTATTTTTAGGAGGGGGAGTTAGTGGGGTGGAGGTAGTGGGGCCCAAGGGGAGTCTGGGAGATTGGGAGCAACAACTTGGAGGGGAGTGTGATGTTCCCTCTCAGAACTGTGTGGACAAACTCCCTCCCATTTTTCATGATGGATGTCAAATGTCACCTCCTCTGTGGAACCTTCCTTGATTTCCTCATAAAACATCCATCCTCTCAAACACAGGGGTTAATGTTCTACCCTCTTAGGTGTAGTTCCAGATCCAGTGATACTGAACAGTAGAGACCTCGGTTCATGCAGATAGGGTTTCTTCTGCTCTGCATCTCTGAGACTCCAGCCTGCTACCTCAGTCCTAAAATGACAAGGCGTAGAAGTTAGGAGCTGAGACTTTGGTCCCAAAGTCACACAGCTGAGGTCCCCTCCTGGCCCCTTTGTAGCAAAATAACCTTGAGTAAACACTTTTGTAAATCTGTTACTTTGTCTGTAAAATGGAGATTATCTACTGCCTTCCAGAGATTAAAGGCTTTAATTTACTCAAAGCACATAACACACCTGGTATAGACTGACAGAAAAGATCTCTTGCAAACTCTTGGCCCCGAAGAGGCTACTTGCCCCCAACGGTCCCCTTCCCTTTGTGGCATCACAGGTGGTGTGTGCGTACTGGCGGGAGGAGAGGAGGCAGTGTGGGTGTCTCAACACCGAGGGGCCCAGAGCTAGGCGGAGGTCGCCTGGCGAAATGTGGCGGAGCAGGGCTGGAAGACCAAGTCCACCGCAGCTGCTTTCCTCCGCCATCCCAGCTGAGGCACACCCCCTCCCCCGCCTCCTCTAGTATTTTCCTTCTTTCTCCTACTCGCCCCTGTTTCTCTCCTCTAATTTCGCCGCATCCCCATACAGGAGGCGGGGTCTCTGGCTGCAGACGGGGGACACCCCAGGCCTAAAGTTTGGGGAAACGGGCCTCTGGCCCAAAGCGATGGCCTTGGTCTACGCTGGCGAGGGGGCACCCAAGTCTCTAGGAGAACCTCGGAGTCCTCGGAAATGGGGAGTGGAGCCTAGGGAGTCCGAAATGAGGGAGCGGACTCGTTGACTACGCGGGAGTACCTGCGCCAGAGAGAAGGGGCTAGGGAGTCCCTCGAATCGAGGGGTGGGCAGGACTTCCCTAGGCCTGAGGGCGGTGCCTGGGGAAGGGGCGTGGTCTCCCAAAAAGGGGAGGAGCACCACCGACTAGGGCTAAGCTTCGCCGCAAGGGGCGGAGTCTAGGGGAGGCGGGGCTCCCAGAGGGCGGGGGCAATGGGGCGGGGCAGAGGGCGGAGCCAGGCCGTTAGCGCTGGTTCCCCTCCCTCTGGCCCCCGGTGTCCCCGTGACGAGGCAGCGCGGAGCCGAC